GACGCTATGCGTCAGCACGAACGTTGTCGTTCTCTCAGCGTATCGGGTCACGTTATTCGATACTCATTTTCGTGTTTATTATATATCCGGTTATATTCTTGATTGATTCATGTTGGTCATGTAAATAAAGAGTTTTGTGTGAAATTTCGAGCGATTATCGACATAATTCCTTGAAGAGGATGCCAGTGCATTTATGATTGTGTGAAAAACGGAGTTTTAAATTCGTTTTCTGATTCTGATGTGTTTTCACGACATTGCGTGCGTCACGATGATTACGTTGCGGCGCACATCGCCACAACCAGCTGAGCGATGCTTGTTCGCTCGTCCAGTGGCTATCACATTGGTGACAGCTTACGAAGCAGTTTAAGCGCTCAGCTGGCTGCACGTTATCACTTTACCTTGTCAATTGTTTGCGATCCTGTCTCCTATTCTGATCTTTTGAGTTTTTTTTTCAAATTTTAGGATTCAGTGCCATGGATTTCGACAGCAACGATGGCACTATCATAAGAAAGCTGCAAGAAAATATTGAAGAATTGGGGCAGCAAGGTGGGAGAAGCAGTTTTCTGGTTTTCTTTCTTTGAACTACGTTTTTGGTGGGCTTTCAATTGCTATTTTTATTTTTCAATACTCTTGTCACGTTCAGTAATGCAATGACTGGAAATTTGATAGAGGTAGTGACAGACCTCTCACTTGAACCTGGCAACGTTTTCAGCGAGGTCGCTTTAGTCTTTGGGTTAGGTGGTAGTGCTAGTTCCAGTGCTCACGGCAATGTTAAAAGTTGGAACTATTTTGCGTTCTGGGATATAGATTGGTTCTTCATGTGATTTGTGAGGGATTTTGAAATGGGATAAAACAGAAGAATCATAGAATTTGTGTACGAAGCTTGAGAACCTTAGTGGCCCTCTTGTCATTTTTGGTGGGAGATGTGTGAACGAACAGAACAATGCGCAAAAATTTCAGTGCAACACTTGGATTCGTTCATCAGCAGATTGACAGAAAGTGAGCAACATCGCGAACAATTCAATGAGGTGCGTTTCTTTTCATCATTTTGTTGTAGTTGCTCATTTTTGGTGCAATGCAGTGGCCTATGCAGTAACTTGTGAGGGTTCAAGGACGTTCGAATCAGTTTTGGGACAAGTCCGGTACTGCTTCACCGACCCTAAAGAGGAGTGAGCCTTGGATGGTGTAAGGTGCAGAATTAACTCAAAAGTACCCCCTCCCTTTGCAACGCTACCAACGTCTTCCTCTTAAATCGCATGTAATGTGGAAATGCATGGGCACAAGAAGCAACGGAATTAAACGAAATTTAAAGTAAAATTAGGTTAACCATGTGAATCAATGTTTTTTCCCGCAAGTTTTACTGGTTCTTAAACAACAAATTTTTCAGTTGGCTCACAAAGCCCAGAAATTGTCGAAAGAGACAAATCAGTTGATGAAGCAGCTTGTTCAGCTCAGCAATAATAACGTGAGTGCATCTCAGTTATTTTTTTT